TTCTAACTTGTTATCGTATTTACATAATCCTGTTCATTCCACTTCATTATATTCATTATTATTATTTAACAATCATTCACACCAAAAGTACTTATAATTTTACACCATATCATCGTTATTATTTTACAATCATTCTTATTGTCGTTATTTTCAACCTTGAACTTATGTCTAGACCGCCCCATATATATACATATACATATATATATATATATCATTAAATAAATTACTTCACCTCATTTTGTCACGTGCATGTTAAAAAAACTAACTGACTATTGTTCCATCCCATCTTATACTTGTTCCACAATGCACTTTCTGATATGATTCTATTTTGCCTTTACTAGCTATTTTATGCTTAAATTAACGGATTTATAATTGTAGAGCCTGAAGAAGAATTTATTGAAAACAATTGTTCGCTCTAAATATTTTGTTCTGAATGTTCTTTTCAATAATTTCTCCTCTTCATGTTCTTACAATTATAAAATATAATATTTGTTGTCGTTACTATAATGCCAGTTATGCGGTGGAAGAGAGGATGGTTCCGTTAAAAGAACCATATTTAGAAAGCTAGAGACCAAAGCTCAGTATACACACTTCCTTAGCTTCGTACCTATGAAATACTAGCGTAACCTGATCAGGTGCTTAGCATTTAGAGCAAGGTCCATTTGTTCCGAAGACTGCATAGAGAAAGAACTCCAGGTTGCCCGAGACATCCTAAACGAGAACGGATATCCAGAGAAGTTCATTAAACCCAAAATAAGTTACAATATTCGTAAAGATGAACTGGCAACGGTGGAGAAACAACCCTCTGTTTTTACGTATCCAATTCAAGAGGGATACCTCTGTGGAGATTCTATCGCAATGTTTAACCAGGGCGATCAAGAAAACTTTCTTCTCTGCACGTCTGCGTATATCCTTCAGTAGCCGTCCAATGTTCACCCAGCAACTCAAAGGTGTTTTAACTAACCTGACCTCTTCTTCATGCATATACCATTTCAACTGTTCCTGTGGTTCAAGTAATATAGGGCGCACGATTAGGCAGGTTCGTCTACGGGTTCGAGAACATTTACCAGCTTGGTCCAGCAAGGGGGAAATTAAGTACATGAAAAGCTCGATTCTGTCACATTTGGTCGATACGGGACATCATATCGACGTCAACACAGCTTTCAGGGTTATATCCCGAATTCCGAAGTCATTATCACTTACAGTTCGCTTACATCTCTTACACATAGCTGAAGCTTTTGCAATAACATCGACTAAACCGGAATTTTGTATCCAAAAAGAAAATGTCCAGACGCTGTTCCTACCGTGGTCAAACTTGGATTGATGACTCTTCTTCTCACCAAGAGTGCTCCTTCCCCTTAACCCTCTTGGCTTTTTTTTCCTTTGCTTATTATTACAATTATTATTATTAATATTATTCGTCATAATTTATGCCCTTCATGCAAACATTCTCACAATACCACCGAATTTCTTCGTTTATACTATCCGGACTTATTATTAGTGATATTATCTCTTTTCTCAATATACGCCTCCACCTGTTTTATTTCACATATTCGTTATCTCATTATGAACCTCCCATTGCAGTTTTACTATCTCCTGTTTAACACAGACCACTTTGTACTAGCCACTCACCTGACACCTTTTATAACCTTGAACTGACTTGTCAATTTTCCTACCCCACACTCTACAAATCTATTATGACTAATCACCACCATTATTGTCTCCCATTTTACAATATTTTGTAATTGATTTTGAGCCTAACATGTTTGTCACACAAATACGACTATTCATTTTGACACCCCATAACTAATCTGTTATTCGACGTTAAAAATGTATCTGCCGCTTAACTAGCCTTTATTGTAATGACAACATATATTATATTTTATAATTGTAAGAACCTGAAGAGGAGGAATTATTGAGAAGAGTATTCTTCGTTCAGATTGACTTTTATTCTGCTTTGATTTTCAGATCTGTAATGACTAACTAACTCAGCATTCATCTGGCGACTGAACGACTAGTCTAAATAGAACGTCCCTCACTTTTGAGTTTTTTTCTCTCCCATTTAATCGTATTTTTTAATGATAGTATATTCCCTTTTTCAAGTGGTATTATGTAATGACATCTGTTATAGAAGTGTTGGAAACAATGGGGCTACTGGATAGTCGTTTCACTCTACTTCTGGATGAGGGACCAAGGCCAAAACTTTTGGGTTATGAGGCGAATCCGTTGAAGACTCAGCCACTGAGATGTGACCAGAGGAGTCGATCCAGTAGACAGAGAGAACAAACACTCGCAAATGACATTGGCAGGTAGCGCCGCTATAGACTGTAAACGAGCATTACTTAGAATTCATGAACAAGTCGATTACCACCAAGTGGTTGAATGGTCGATGAATTCATCTTCTTACCAAAAGCTTCTTGATTCGATCCCTAGTGGGGTCATTTGTGAGTGCTATTGAAAAGTCCCTGAATAAAATAAAACAGGTGTCCAATACTTCCTCATTCTCAGGGGGCCTCCACCTGATTATTTCGGCTTTGAAATCAATTAAATCTTTACAAGTCAGTACTTGAATATTAATCTTTCGATAACTCTAACATATAGCGACTCAAGTGAACGGACGTAATATTGACCACCAACCAATCAGAAAATCCCATAATAGAAACACGGAAAGATGCCTGCAGTGCACGAATGACGCTGCAAATTATATCAAGAGGTAGTATTCGAGTACTGTCGGTATAACAGGCCTTTAAGAAGCTTATTGATGTAAAGGCGTAATGTCTTCACAGAGTTATGCAGTAGCTGGTTATTGGTGTGTACAGATGTTCAGACTGCCATTACAGAAATTCTAGGTGGCCAGCTTGCAAATTGGGCTTGGTTTTAAGATTAAAACCTATATCCACATATTCCAAATAATTTCTCTCATTCAGATTGTTCAAATCTAGTCACATGTGATCCCTAATAGTATAGTTCAATCGGGCTAGTGTTCAAAATGTTCATAACCTGCTGATTTGCAGGTTTCTACTAAACAGGAGAAAAAGCATTCTCCTCCATCGCAGCTTATCCACATGAGACGAAAGTTCTGAGTGGCTTCCCTCGTTCATAAAATGTACTCCTGAACTTTTTACAATTGACATTCAACAAAATGTCGTTATGTATTTCTCAAAGGAGAAAAAGAAGAGATATCACATAATGGATTGGTTTGTGTTTCAGGTGACATAGAACTGTGTCACATGATCTGCTGTCAGTTAATCTTTTACTTGAAGATCCTGGATGATGAGAAAATATCATGCAGTAAACTCTGCTAAAAATTCTGTGCATTTAATTAAATTTTAGATTTTCCCGTTGATTGATTGGGCCGAAGTGCTTGGTCTCAGGTTGACATGTCGGCTTCTTGAGCAGATGCTTCGACGATGTCTGGGCATTTAATTAGTATTTAATTGGTGGATGGTGACTAGCAGTGGAATCCAGGGTGCGCAATAAAATCAATATGACCCGCTGAACAAGAGGTGGCCCGAGTGGTCCAGTGGATAACGCTTTGGCGTTTGAAACTATGGGCACTGGGTTCGAGTCTCGGTGGGAACATCATCACTCACTGAGAAATGCAGGGGCAACCAGCTGACGAGTCCCAAATAGGATGAAATGCGCATCCTGGACTCCACCATCCACCAATTAAATTTTCTGCATTATTTAAATATTTTTCGGAATAAAGCTATTACTATTTTTAAAAATCTGTTCAAAAAGGTATGTCATTCTCCTTTTATGTTCACTGATGTTGTAGAGCAGTGAGCGGTTTACAAAGAAGAATGATATAGAGTTATCAGGGAGCGTTTATTTACGGAATTGGGTTTAGAATATCACTGAGGTCTTCAATAGACAATCTGTAGATTTTCTTGGGACATGTACAAGAAAGTTACCTTACAATACTACGTTTAACACTAGATTTGTTGTCCATAAAACAGGTGTTTTTCATATAACACGTATTTAATACAAGCTTCTCTGACTGAGTGATCAAGGTAGTTATAGCCGTCTACTCAAATCGCTCATTTGAGTCACTACAATTCAGTAGCGAACCATCTTACTGGGCACTCGTTATTCATATCTGTGGTTCTAAAAATTGTCTTCCTAAGTTTATATTCATTATGCAACTGTGTGTTTTGATTACTAGTTAATTTACTTTTAGTTTCCATAAACTTCGAAAACTAACATGGTAGTCAGTGGACTTTCACACATATAGAGTACACATATATCTATTTGTATATAGTCTGGAGTGAGTGAGTGTAGATTACTTTTTTAAATTAAAGTAACAACAACAACAGACAACGATCAGCATAAATGGAAGGAACCTGAAAGAAAAAACCTCTTTTACCTACCTGGGAAGCATCGTTTCAACTAAAGGCGGAACTGGCGAGGATATCAAGGCAAGAATCGGAAAGGCAAGACAAGCTTTCACTACTCTCAAGTCTGTGTGGAGGTCAACAGCACTCCTGAGCATGAAAAATAAGATCCGGATTTCCAACTCCAATGTGAAGTCAGTGCTACTCACTATACGGATCATAGACTTGCACTGCGCGTCATAAAGAGCATCTCAAACAAACTACAGAGCTTCACCAACAGTTGTCTTCGCTCAATACTCAAGATCAGATGGCCAGCAAGGATCAGCAATAAAGATCTCTGGGAGCGAACCAACACAGCAGGAACCGATTGTGCAACAAATAGGCAGGAAGAAATGGAGATGGATTGGCCATACTCTGAGGAAACCATCAGGTAACATCACATGCCAGGCTCCCTCTCTCGAGTGGAAGCCGAAAGGGAAGCGGCGAGTTGGTCATCAGTGCAAGGGTAACTTAGAGGAGGTCATGTGAAAAGGAGATGAAAGCATGTGGTGCCAGGTGAAGACCCTAGCCGAGAACCGAACGCAATGGAGACGCACGGCTGAAGCCCTATGTTCCTCTAGGAGTTAAAGGAAACAGTAATAATAATGATAACAGCATTCAACTTACTCTTCAGGTTTTGTGTTAATATTTTGCATGGTTTGTAGACAGCTATCCAAATCTGATGCTAACTTCAGTATTGTCGACGAAGCTAACCAATTCTTTTCTTGTCTTATAAAACCATCAAGTGCAACTCCACGTTTCAGCAGTTTATCTGTTAAACTTGTGCCTAGTGTAATTGTATACCTCCAGTCTTGTTGTCCAGCTTGGGGAAGATTCTCTCTATAATCAACAAAAAAATAAAAAAGATTAAGTGGATTTTGAAATTTGACGTACGATTCACTTAGATGTAACGAATGGAGTTAAGTACTGAGTCATTTTATGCGTCAGTGCTTGGTATCAATGGTTGGCCTGATAAATTTGGGCTATTTATATCACGTGCTTAAAATTCCACAGTTGTACCAAAATACTGTGTGGAATCAAGCTGTAATAATAAACAAAGTTGAAAACCATGGAGTAATAGGCAGCAGTATCGTCCTAACTTGCGGTTAGTCGGCAGTAGCCAACCAACAGGTTTCGAACCCCTGGACATTCTAGTTACAAATCAAGCTCGTTGACCGTTCAGACACTGGGATCCAACTTAATGGCCCATGAATTCGAAAGTCTGTCCACGTGGGAGTGAGGACAGATACTCGCGGATGACATTGATAGAAATTATAATTCACGGGTCCTGGGTTTAAAAGCCGGTGGGCGCGTCCTTCATAGGGGTCCGGAACTAGGAAAAAATGCTGTCCAATACACTTTGGTTTTCAAAAGTTCTCTTACTGAAATCAAACTTTAAATATTGCATAATTGCACTTTACAGAGATTTTGAGCGGAATAATATATATTGTGTTCGTGCAATACGTTTCAGACAATCTGATCACACACGTACTTGTCATGTGAAAATAATAAACCTTCAAGTGGTTAGAAGATAGACACAGGTCAAGCAAAAAGGATATACTGAAGATCAACACTGGAGATCAATAAGCCGAAGAATTCGACAGCCGGATGAGTCAGTACAACGATCTACTTTGAGAAGATCCACCTGTACAGAACATTATCTCCTGTTTTGGTGAGAAAGAGCCTTGGTGAGTCGCCTCTTTAGTAGGATTCGACGAAAATGAACAGAGAAACACATTTGAAGATGAGGAAATAAAACTGACAGAAACTCCGGTTGATAATAATTCTCAGAGAAGTTTATAAAGAGATATAAAATGGTCGGAACACCAGGAACCATTCTCCAACTCGCCGCTAAGAGGATGTATATATCAAGCTACCCTACATGGGCGATTATAGCAGCTTGGTAAGTAGACAGAGATTGACAGCTGCTGTCGAAAGACATTTTTGCAGCTAAGATCCATGTAGTTCATAATTTGAAGTCTATAACATCATCTAAGTGTCAGTGTGGCCAGGCATACACAAGGACTGATCGTCGTTTGCAAATAGAGGGTTCAGAGTATATCCCCTTAAATAGCTTCAGAAGCAAACCCGATCGCCTGAACTGGTTAACGGTGAAAACACACGACCTGGTTCTTCTGTCGTGAAACATATTACAAAGACAAGACATAAAACTCATGTTTACACATCTTTTAAGCATATCTATCATCTGTGTTTGGGTGTATCCTAAAGTTTAGGGAAGCCATACAGATTAGAAAGTTTAAACCACCTTTATATGTTCAAAAGCAGCTCATCACGACACTAAAGTTTCCTTGATAAACTTTGTTTTGGTACCAGAGTAGATCTGTTATTATCAACACTCTTTAGTTCATTGATCTTTGTCGTCACTTCAACCGTCAATATAGCCTTTTAACTTGATTTCTTTCTATTCTCTGACCCCTTAACTCCTTATTATTTTCATCTGACCATTACGTGTGTGATCAGACGGGTTGAACAAATACATTACAAGATTTAGACAAATTACGTATTCTTGTGCTTTGTCCAAATTCACCAAAGGAACTAATTGTTTCAAAGAATAAAACGTACTTCTGGGTAAATCAGTGAAATCTGTAACTGTCCGTACATACCACATACGGAGCGAGGGAGGAAAGTTACACTACTTTGTTGAATTTCTAGAGACCTTAGATGATATGGCTCAAAACTGTTCTTATTAGAGTAGGTGCCTTCACTTTTTGTAACCTTCCAAGTTCTCACATTCTGCTTTTTCTACCTTGATATACGCATTACGACATGTGGTAACTTGAACTGCTCTACCTTATTGTAAGGTTCTACTTTCCAACTCCAATTGAGTCTGCAGTAAGCCAACTGGAACTCTCTACTCTTTTTCTACTAACAAAAAAGTCCAAAAAACACTGACTTTAGACGAGAAAATCCTTACTGTCTTTTCAGGTAAACAATAGAAACAAAAAACACCTAAAAATTTTTACTTGAGTTGTAAACAAAATAAAAGACAAATTCAGCGAAGAAAATTTTCTTTATCGATGAAATCATCTTCAGAGGCTGTACAGTCGTGTTTATATTTTCCAAAAGTGTATAGTAGTCTATTATTGAATAATAGCGCGTGACATGATGGATATAATTACTCAGAAGTGGCTTTAGAAGCAAAAATAAAAGTTGTAAATTACGTAGTACTCAACAGCACGAAGGAAGAAATCATTAGAAATTTGCTATTGAGGGAGAATAAAGTTAGTTGAGTGTAGATTTAATAAGTGTGAAGAGGGTGTACAAAAGGAACACATAAGAGTGATAAAAGTGAATTAATCATAAAAGTAAAAGCAAACTAAACGCAAAATTTTTTACAGAGAACGACTAGTGAAGAGGTTAAGACCAAGGTAGAATAAGAGACTAGACAAACTTTTTCCGTATACAGAGTTTGGCGTTGTGTTGACTAAATGCAAGCCGCTCCGCCACACACAAATATCCCTAGTTAACGCCCTTTCTGCTATTCAGTCTGACCTAGTAGATAATCTTGAAAAACTACTCTTTAGGAGCTGTGTGTTTGAGTTCACCAAGTGCTCGAGAATTGAACTGGTAACTCTCTTGTATGGTCCTTTTACTAACCATGCCAGATAATGTTCAGAGATGCGTTTGAATAGTGTGCACATTGTGCGGGGAATATAATTAGCTTCATATGAGCAAGTGAAATTATAAACACACATTGAAGTGGCCCACAGCATGCGTTTATCCTTCACACATCCATTGACGATTTGTCGGCTGTAGAAATTGATACGTAGCTCAGCCGTAAACAAGGCTTTCCCCGGTGTTCTGGATAGGCGGTTCTTCAAAATCTCAGCTGCAGTACCACCTTTAAAGTCAACGTTCATGAATAGCATTTTCTTCAGTAATGACTTGTATAATGTTGTAGAAAGGTTCACTTTCGAAAGTTACTTCTAAATAATGCACTTTTTTTCCTTCACCTTCCCCAGTGGAACATAGAGCCTCTAGCTAGTAGCTTGAAGTTTCTGTAGCAGTGTTTATTTTACGGGATGGGGTTGCTAGCCTCATGCCCAACCTATCTTCTTCACCAGCATTATTTCTGGTTTAGCGAGGTAAAGGAGTGCGTCGGCCGGGTATCGAACCCCGGACCATGCGCATGGTCGGCGAGCATCCTAACCGCTGTGCCATCGACTCATATAATGCACTAAGACATACTAAATATCGAAAGAGAATTAATTGTGAGCGCAAAAACGCATTTATTTCCATTGAAATCTTTGGACAAGCAGAAATAAGAAAAGGGTTTCCCTCTAACATAGTTTGTTATAAATTTTTTTTCCTGTCACTATATAAATGAATTTATTTTGTTGCCTATAAATCAGTTGACAAGATTAATTTCCAGTGAATTATTTTTTATATGAATCAAGTGTGTCAGACTTTTTGTATAACTGCGAAATCTTTAGAATCAGTCCAGGAAAGAAATAAGATTTATGAATAATTCACAATGGCTTTTAGACACATCAGGATCTCTCATAAACATCATTATTACTTGTCAGCATTAGTGTGGAAGTCAACTTGAAATCAACTAAAAGTTTATGGTCACACTAAAATATTCAATAGAATGAAGTATTGCTAATTAAATAATCATGCTCATATTAATTTATGAGCATTTTCAGAAGAAAAAAAATATGACTACAATTTATTTTAGTCTCATCTCAAATGCAATTAATTTGGTTCATTGAAATATAAACAGCCTACATAAATTAGGACTATTTCAAGAGCTTTCATTTTAAAATTAAATTAAAATAAACTTATAAGAACTTTTAATGGACCTGCACAAAAAACTTGGAGGATCTGGACTTCGCCGATGATGTGTGTATGATTCCCCACAAACTGGAAGATATGCAAGTGAAAAAGCAACAAGTTAGCAGAAGAAGCATTCAGAGAATATAGGACTTCAGGTAAACATACACGAAACAGAGGTAATGAAGATTCTTGACCGGAAGCAACAGCAGCAACAACAACAGACAACAATCACCATAAATTGGAGAAATCTACCTACCTACCTGGGAAGCATCGTTTTAACTACAGGCGGATGGAACTGATGAGGATATCAAAGCAGCTAGGATTGGGAAAGCAAGGCGACCTTCCATTTCTTTCAAGTCTGTGTGAAGGACAACAACCCTCAGCTTGAGAAATAAGATCCGGATTTCCAACTCCAATGTGAAGTCAGTCAGTGCTACTCACTATACGGATCAGAGACTTGCATTGCGCGTCATAAAGAGCACCTCAAACAAACTACAGACCTTCATTAACAGCTGTTTTCGCTCAATACTCAAGATCAGATGGCCAGAAACGATCAGCAACAGAGATCTCTGGGAGCGAACCAACCCAGCAGGAACCGATTGTGAAACAAATAGGCAGGAAGAAATGGAGATGGATTGGCCATACGCTGAGGAAACCATCAAGTCGGTCGGTCGGTCGGTTTTCGACATAGAACTTTGCACATATGTGCGGCAGTTCAAGTCGCCACAATCTATGTAGCACGCAAAACAAGAGAAGAAAGTAGAAGAAATGCATAGTAATATAGACAGTAAACAGAGGTGTGAGACAAAGGAATAGTAATAACGAAGAACAAAACAGTTTAATTGGAAATCATGAGTCACGAGGAGTGGATGCATCTGCGCCACTGAGAACGATTTTGAGCCATATCACCAACTGTTTCCAACCATTGGTTTTTACCGTCCCGAGGACCTCAACCAGGAAGTCTACACCTTCCTACGTGGTTTAGACTAACTGTTGTGGATTTCATTGACTGGTGCCATGTTTTCGTTTGACCGCCGCT